GAGACAGGTTGATTCAAATGACTGAACACCGCGATGGAGTGAAACGGGGAGTTCAGATGGCTGAAACAATCTCATTAGGGAGGCAGGCAGGTCAGTCACCTCACGGCTTAAAACTTGTGCACACTCGCGTTCGGAAAAGTCAAACACACGGTTTCCTATTGCGAACGGTGTGAATGAATGGGAGGGAGGCAAGTACAGTATGTGGGGCGTAAAGACCGAGCCGGTTGAACGTTAGCAAAAACACAGCACAGTTAATTAGCACGGTGAAGTGAACTGTAGCCCGGAGGCAAAGTCCCAAAAATCTGTGTGCGTGGGGGGAGGGTGAGAAGGGGACAACATAACCGAAAGAGAGAGAGGAGAGCGAACGCAAAAAGCAACGGCACACGCATTGGTGGTGTCTGCCAGTGAAAAGAGAGAAAAAAATAACGGACGAGGTGATGGTTGTCTCCATTACGCTGTTTCGTCATACACACAGACCCAACACATCGATGGAACCACAGTAAGAAACGGTTAGTGTTGTTGTTGTTGTTATTAGGACGTTCCGGATGAACGAGATATATACCCCGTCAATTCGACCATGCATATGTGAACTGTGACGAATGCGAGTGTGGATCCTAATCATTCGATCGTAACAGGTTTATCCGCCAATTGAATGACAGGCATCGAACACGGAGGCATAAATCTGGGGTCATTCCGAGTTTGATCAATGGAATGGAGAACACTTCGGATTTCGGGATGATGGAGGAATTGTCAATTGGAGAATGGTCGGGAATGTCGAAATCACGTTAATCGCCAGTCATACACCATGCTAACCATGTTCTATTACCAAAGGAAGTTGACAACCCGAGTCTCAATCAGTCTTATTTATCCGGTAGCTGTCCACGCAGTTGTGAGCAAATGGTACACATTCATTCTATCGACGTGCAATGTGTCGGTAGTAGACTACTCTGTACCTGTGCGTGATTCAGCAGTAGTTACAGTGTAAAGTGCTACTCTTTCGCGACAAAATCGAGTCCGAATCTGACTGAAGCTTGCTGAGGATAAAACCCGGCGATCCGACGATGGCTTGAACGATAAGTGTAGATGGAAATATAACTGATATCAGGGGATGTTTGGAGATGCTCTTTCCAGATGTAACGAACTCCGTTATGACCGATTAAATTTATTCGCTCCACAGGGCTAATTTTCTCTGGGGGGTGGGATGGGATGGGGGAAGGTATTCAGAAAATAGCAGAAAACTCACCTATTGATCTTGGTGAATTAATTGATACCTTTCACAGTCTTGTTTTTTGGTATTGTATCCTATATAAAGTTAACAGATTTTCTATTCGGAACCTTTAACTTATACTCAGTTATTGCTTTTTTGACGTTGTCACCTTCTGGGATGTATCTCAAAGTTGCTTGCTCACAATTCCTTTTCGATTTCCGTTGGTCTCATATTTCACAGTACGATAGGGATTGGTGTTCACCCCAGTAGGATGACAGCCTTCTGGGCGAAACTTTCCATTCGTGCTCAAATGATTAACCTTCAAGCGTTCATCAAAAATCATAAATGTCTTCCTTATTGATCGTTTGCGAACTCCACTAGTGTCGTGTGCGCACGGTCACGACCCTCCAGTTAACGAACCCAATAGTCGTTTGATCGGCAACGGTGAAATCTTTAGCTTGCATTTGAAACGTCGAACTTTGTTGGGTTGTCGCAAGAAAAATGACCACACACACACACACACAC